TACGGAGATTGCGCTCCAGGGACACGTAATTACCCCAAGGGTTTGCAGCGCGTGCCTGCGCTTCCACGCCCCGTCCAATGCCATTCGGCCACGAGGCAGTGCTCGTCATGCTGCCGGGTCGGGGCCGCCCGTGGTTTTCACGCTGCCGCGTCGTGCTGCTCGAGGCGCCGGGCATCTGTGTATAGAGGTGGTGCTCGCCGTGCTCTCGGGCCGGGGCCACGCGTGGCCCGTGGTCTTGCTCACGCTGCCCACGCCGTGCTGGTCGAGGTGCCGGGCATCTGGGTATATCGGGCTGGACGACACGGGGGGATTGGGAAAGGGGGGGGGTACGAAATTTGCTGCATGCAGCTGGTTTCGGCCTCACCGAGGGGCCCATGCCTCGATACATACATAGCCGCCTCCGGCGCCGGGGGGCGCCGGGAAAATCAGCTACGTGAGTTGATTATCACCCCCCCCCTTTGCTATCCCCTCCTTTCGCCCGACCCGAGTATAGCTGAGCTGACAGCCAATGGTGGTGGTATTCACGCGGTTGGCGCTTAGCCCACGTGCGGTCTCGGGCGCCGAGGAGCTGGAGGTGCGTCCGATGATGTGGAGGTCGTCTCTGGCATGTCCCATGTTCCTGTAAGCATGTTATGTAGATTATGTTTCCACGTGGCGAGGCCGCGGTTTGTGTCATGATGTGCGCTGCTTGGCTGTAGTTTTCAGGAGCGCGCTGTGTTGTTTACAATATATCTGGATTGGGCCGTGTTGCTACGTTCGCCCTATTCTGGGAAGTTGCACTTGCCAGCCGCTTTTTCGGGGAGTTCGTTGTGCTGGTGCGTGCGCGTGATTCTCTGTGTCGGCCGACTGCTTCGCGGATCTTCGCGGGCTCAGGGCACGTGTGTTGCAGCACGATCAGCTGATGTCTGGGCCCCGCGGTCCCGAACCCCCACCTCCTCCCCCATCCCTCCTCCCACCTCCTCCCAGGGCGCCGACATCCACATGCTGTGGGCCCGGTGCTTGATCGGGCCCGCCTTTCACCCACCCTTCTGATGCTCGGTGCTACAGTCGGGGCGCTGAAGAAGGAACCCTTGTCATTGGGGAGGGGTTCGGTGTTCCTTGAGTGTTTCACAGTTTGCCTCGGGTTTTCCTGAGGCTTCCATGGGAAATCGAGGTTGAACTTATGGGAAAAAGGGGCCTCGTTCCTTATTTAGAGGCGCGCCGAGCAGAGAGTTCGCTCCCATCATGTTGAAGCAATCCTTAGGAATTTTCGGCAGTGTTCACGCGACGGTAGACGCAGCGCAGTCCGTATCGGGCTGGAAGCGCACGCTGCGCCATCACATTCTCTCATTGTGATTCTCCAAGTGTTTTGTCTATTGCATTTTCCGCGCTCTGTCTGTCCACGCACCGCCTGGTGTACGACTCGGAAGGAAGGAAGGTCAACGCCTCGACTGTATCGTGCCTTCGACTGCACCGTCCCCCCCCCCCCGCGTGCACGCACGAGGGCAGGCGCGCGCCGGGCGCAAACCGTGCGCGGGAGGCAGGGACTCCACAGCTCGATCCGCTCGCTCCGGCCCAGCACCGGTTGACCGGCATCGGGGGCGGCAAAGAGGGGGGTGATGACTGGGGGGGGGGGGGATCTCATGGCGGAGGCCATGGCATTTCTCGGATTTCATGGCGCCTCTGCTTATTTCATTACGTCCCTGGCCCCCTTCGCTGGGCCGCCCACCTGCCGCCGGTCATGATGTGCGCCCCCCCCCCTGTAAGAACGGTTTTTTGAAGGCAGATCTGCCTTCAAAAAACAGTAAGAACGGTTCTTTGAAGGCAGATCTGCCTTCAAAAAACCATTTTTTGAAGGCAGATCTGCCTTCAAAAAATAGTAAGAGCGGTTTTTTGAGGGCAGATCTGCCTTCAAAAAGCAATTTTTTGAAGGCAGATCTGCCTTCAAAAAACCGTTCTTACAGCTTGGGCACCCCCCTCTTGGCCGCTCCCGGCAGCAGGCCCCCGGGTGCGGCGCGGCGGGCTCGCGGTAGGGCGTCGTCGCGCCTCCCCGCGCGGCCGATGCCTGTCGACCTCGCCCCCGTGCCGAAGCAGCCCCGCGGGCTGCGAGCCGGAGCCGGGCTCCGGGTGCGGTTCGGGCCGGGCGAAAGGGGGGGATTGGGAAAGGGGGGGCTACGAAATTTGCTGCATGCAGCTGGTTTCGGCTGATTCTTGAGCTACGTGAGCTGATTCTCAAACCCCCCCTTTACTATCCCCCCCTTTCGCCCGACCCGAGCGGTGCTCGGAGGTCGATAGAGCGCCTAAGCCTGACACGTCGATGAGCGGGTTGGCCGTTGTCGGCTCGCGAGGGGGCGTCGCGGCCGTCATTTTTGTTGCGGGTCCAAGTCTGTCGGTTTCGGTCCTGGGCCGTTGTTCGCTAGATTGAGTTGGGCGTGTCCCCCTACAGGGGGGTTTTCGACGAAGCAAAGAGACACCAAAAATAATCAAAAATAGTCTGGGAACTATTTTTTGAGTATGTTTTGACCTTGTTGGTGCATTTTTAATGTATTTTATCATTTTTCGTCGAAAATCCCCCTGTAGGGCGGCAGGCCCGACGTAACGCTAAATGGAGGTTTACTGAAGGGAGGTTTGTCCACCGCCGAGGAGCGGATGGGCCCCGCCCATGTGGCGAGGCACCGCCGCTGCCGCGGGGGCGCCTTCGCCTCGCGCGGGGGGCGCGGGCGGGGAGCCAGAGGGGGGGGGTTCCCCGAGGGCGGAGGTTGGGCTTCCGTCGGGCCCGTCCCTCTCCTCCTCCTCCTCCTCCTCCTCCTCCTCCTCCTCCTCCTCCTCCTCCTCCTCCTCCTCCTCCACAGGGGGAATATTCTCAGGTATGGCCAGGACCCCGGGCAAGGGGACCCGGTTAGTGGTAGGGCCCCGAAGCCTTCGACTTAGCCAGAATCGCTACACCAGGTTTGCCATAGCTGGTGTTTTTTCGGGTGACGGCAGTTCCGGTTAGTGGAAATGGGACGGGGGGGCGCCCACGGTACAGATCACTACACCAGGTTCCACTAAACCCAGTTCTACCAACGTCCGATATTCGAAAATAGTCAAACAACAGTTTGGGGACGATTGTTTGACTATTGTTCAGCATGTGTTGAGTATCTTCTGACTACTTTTAATTTTTCGCCCAAAATCTGCCTGCAGCGCTGCTGCCGCTGCAGTGCCCCGAGGGCCGCCGTTGTTGCTACTGTTGCATTTGTTAGTGGTGTTGGTGATGGTGCCGTAGTTGTTGCTGTTGGGCGTCGCTGGTTGGGGGGGCGATAAAAAAATCAAGGGGGGAGAAAGGTGTATTTGTTTCGGGCTCAGCAGGCCCCTTTTCTGGGGCCTTATAAAGTGCCCCTTTCAGGAGCCCTCAGGGGCACCTCTTCTGCTGCCCTCTCTGCCCCCCGCAATTTCTTCGCCCACTCCCTACTACGCGACGCCCGAGAAGGGGGTCGCATGAGGGAGAGGAGGATCAAGGATACGCGCGTCGTTCAACCGGTTTGTGTTACTCGTTCGCATGTCGTGCAGGAGCGTGGCATTCTCGGCTTTCGCAAGCTGGTGGGTCGTCCAGCCAGCGCGGCACTGATTTTTCGAGTAGGGGATCGACTACATAATTGATTCACCCCAAACTTGATTTTCCCGTTGAATCTACAACACGAAATTGTAGAACGCCTAGTAGATCTACGGGGCATTCCCTACGCATGTTTCGAAGGCTTCGACGGGGAAACATCATTTAGGGTATGTGTTTATATTATGTAGTCGGCCCCCTACTCGAAATCGGCGGCGAGCCGGGGGTGGAAGTGAAAGGAGAAGGCCTTCTCAGAAGGCTGCTGTACTTCTCAGAAGCCCCCCAGCCTTCTGCGAAGAGTTTCTTGCGCCTTCGGGGAAGGTTTAGAAAACTTTTCAGGAGGCCGGGGGACTCGAGCCTTCTGGAAAGGCCCGCCCCTTCTCTCTTCCCCACCCGGCTCGCCGCCGAGAAGCATCGCGCCGCATCGGATGCATCGCCGATACGGCGCAAGGTGAAGCAGGAGTTTCCTCACGCCGACGGCGCCGATGCATCGCCGACGTCGCCGATGCCTCGCTCGCCGCTGGCAAATGCTCTGGGTGGGCTATTAATCGAGGGGAGGTCGACTAACCTTCCGACGGAGCTTGCCCATCCCCCCCCTCCTCCACCTCCTCTTCCTCCTCATCCCCACCCCTTCCTTCTCCTCCTCCTCCTCCTCCTCCTCCTCCTCCTCCTCCTCCTCCTCCTCCTCCTCCTCCTATTTATCAGAATCATCATCATCATCATCATCATCATCAGCATCATCATCATCATCATCATCATCATCAGCAGCATCATCATCATCATCATCATATTCATCTTCATCTTCATCTTCATCTTCATCCTCATCCTCATCCTCATCCTCATCCTTCTCCCCTCCTCCCCCCCTCCTCCTCCTCCTCCTCCTCCTCCTCCTCCTCCTCGTCCTCCTTCTCCTCCTCCTCCTCCTTCTCCAACCCCCCCTCACCCGTTCCGACAGCACGTGCCCAACCCCCCCAGAGGATCCAAGGTCGGGGAAACGTAAGACTCGAGTAAGCCAGGACTCGGGTGACCCGACGGTTTTTTGACGAGCGCGTCCTGGATTTCGACGGTCCAGCTTTTGTGGGACGTCTGTCGCGGGAGCTCGCGTCGAAGTTCAGATCGGTCCTCTTCGGCCCCGTCGGGCCAACCCGAGTCCCCCGTACCCCAGTCTTAACAACGTCTCCCCGACCTTGGGACGCAGCACCTGGCCCGGGGAGGAGGAGGAGGAGGAGGAGGAGGAGGAGGAGGAGGAGGAGGAGGGGAATGGGAGGAATAGGAGGAGGAGGAAGAGGAGGAGGAGGAGGGGGCGCGATTACTGCCCCAGCCAGCCCAGAGTACCGCTCCTGCTCCCCGAGGGGCCGCCACCCGGAGGGGCTCGGGCCCGGTCGGGTCGGGGGGGGGGTCGGCGGCGCGGCCGCGCTTCCGCGCCCGGGAGGGCGGTGGGCCGTGGGCGCCCGACCGCATCGCGTCGTACACGGGGAAGATGCCCGAGCACTTCTCGCTGCTCACGGCCCTCTTCGGCGAGTGCAGCAAGGAGGGGCTCGAGGCTCGAGGCTCGAGGCTCGAGGCTCGAGGCTCGATCGTCTCCCTCCGCGTCCTCGCCCCGAGTCTCGCAAGCTCCTCCTCCTCCTCCTCCTCCTCCTCCTCCTCCTCCTCTCCTCCTCCTCCCTCCTCCCTCCCTCCCTCCCTCCCTCCCTCCCTCCTCCTCTTTCCTGGTGCTCCCGGTCCTCTTTCTCGCCCTCCTCCTCCTCGTTATCCTCGTTCTCCACCTCCTCCTCGTCCTCCTCCTCCTCCTCATCCTCCTCCTCCTCCTCCTCCTCCTCCCCCTCCTCCTCCTCGTTCTCCTCGTCGTTCTCCTCCTCCTCCTCCTCCTCCTCCTCCTCCTCCTCGTCTCCTCCTCCTCCTCCTCCTCCTCCTCCTCCTCCTCCTCCTCCTCGTCAGCATCATCATCAGCAGTCTCCTCACGGCCCTCGTCGGCAAGTGCAACGAAGACCGAGAGGAGAGTCGACTACAGTCGGACCCAGGCATAAGATCGAGGTCGGCTCGGGGAGGGTACCCCAGTGTTCTTCGTGTTTGCTGGATGTTATTATTGTGCATCGTGGGGGAGGGTACCCTCGAATGCTTTTCGGTTTGGCCGGCGGAGGGCCTCGTGTTCTTGAAGGATGTTCTTCTGGCCTAGGTCCGACTGTGCACGTGAGAGTGACCCTTCGTCGGAGTGACCTTTGTTGCGGGCCCGCTGGGGTCCCCCGATCGCCGAACGCGAGGCGGCGGTGGCGTCTTGCGCGCTTGTGGTTGGCCCCCCCGCGGCCCCGAAAAAGCCGCGCACCAAAGGGCACTCTTGCCCAGGGACGCTCCAGGAGAGAGGAGAGATATCGAGGAGCGCGGGGAAGGATCGAGGGGCGCAGCAAGGGTCGAGGAGAAGGATCGAGGAGAAGGTTCGAGGCTCGAGGACTGAGATCTCGGACGCCTCGGAGGCGTGTTCCGAGGCCTCTGGGGGCCTCCGAGGCCTCCGCTGGCCTCCGGAGGAGTCCGGCGCCCACCTGGAAGGTCCTCGCGAATCTCCGAAAGAGTCATTGCCCTTTTGGTCGCTGCCCGGTCTTCGTCACGAGCGGGGACCGTAATTATCCATATCATTGCCCTCACGGTATAGATTCTGGGGCTCGATCCCGCGGATGCGCGGTCGCATGGACACGTTCCGCGCGGGGGTCATCCGCGACAGCACGCCCCGTATGCACAGGATCGCTGCCCGGGGGACTGGCGCCCGCGAGGCCGTGGATACGAATGTGTGTGTGTGTGTGTTCTGCCCGCGGCTAACTGCGAGGACACCTGCGGGGCGTGGGACCAGCCGTGCACGCTCGGGCTCATCCTCTCCAGCCTCCTCATGGCCTGGACGTTCAAGAACCTGAAGGTGATCTCGGACGTGTATTTTGTGCCCTCCACGATCGCCCTGGCCAGGGTCCTCGGCATGCCCTCCGACGTCGCAGGCGCCACGCTGCTCGCGTTCGGCTCCAGCGCCCCGGAGTTCTGCACCAACGTGGTGGCCACCTTCTTCTCGGGCAGTGCCACGGGGGGTCGCCAGCAGGAGGGTCGCCGCCTCCGCCTGGAAGTCGAGCATCGAGGGGGGGTACAGTCGGGGCCCTGAAGAAGGAACCATTTTCGTTGGGGAGGGGCTCCGCGTTCCTTCAGTGTTTCGCAGCTTGCCTCAGGTGTTCCTTATGTTTTCGATCGGAAATCGTAGTTTAACTCATGGTAAAAAGGGGCATCGTTCCTTATTTGGGGTTCCTTAGGTCAACGCCCCGACTGTATGGTCGAGTCGAGGACCGAGGAGGCTCTGGGACGTCTTCGAGCGTCTCAGGGAGTCCCGTGCGGAGGGGAGCTTCGGCGGAGGGGGGCCTCTGGGGAGGGGGCCCCAAGGGGGGCCCGTGCCCTCGAGGAGGCGGCGACTCCCCTGGGTGGCGACCGTCCTTGGCATTGCCTGGCCCTCATCGTGAACGAGTGCGGCATTGGAGACATCATCCAGGGGAACGAAGAATGGCATAAGCATTAAAAACTCGGAGGTCCACGCGGATTGCTCGGGTCGGCGCTGCGCTGCCCCTGGCGCGCTCCGTGCGCCAGGGAGGGGGCTCCAGCGCGGATCGGAGAAATCCGCGCGGACCTCCGATTTTTCATGCTTATGTCATTGTTTATGCCCCTATTATCGGTTCAGCCATCCACAACGTGCTGCTGGTCGTTGGTGTCTCTGGCATATTCGCCCTGCGCTCGCTGAACTTGTGGTGGTATCCGCTTTCGCGGGACTGCCTATTCTACCTCGTCGCCATCGTGCAGTTGACTGCTTTCTTGTGGGACGAGTACATACAGATCTGGGAGGCATCCGTCATGTGCCTGACCTATCTTGTGTATTGCGCCTGGATGTTGCGAAATATCCCGATATACGAAGGCCTCTGCAAGATGCTGAAGAAGGAGCCCGTCATCCCGGAAGAGGTCGACGAGGACGACGACGACATGCAGGGGGCCATTTATTATGACCCAGTCGAGGTCCTGTGGCGCGTCACCATGCCCGATCACGATCGCAGGCCATTCGCCTGCTTCTCGGCCTCCCTCCTCAACATCGCCGTGTTGTCGTACGTGATGGTGGACGCCGCGACGCGCTTCGGATGCATCACCGGCACCCCGCGGCGAACCGAGCGGCATCTTCCTCGTCGTCGTCCTCCTGCTCCTCCGCCTCCTCCTCCTCCTCCTTCCCCTCCTCCACCACCTCCTCCTCCTCCTCCTCGTCCTCCTCTCATCCCCCTCCTCCTCCTCGTCCTCCTCTCCTCCTCCTCCTCCTCCTCCTCCTCCTCCTCCTCCTCCCTCCTCCTCCTCCTCTCCTCCTCCTCCTCCTCCTCCTCCTCCTCCTCCTCCTCCTCCCTCCTCCCTCCTCACCTCCTCCTCCTCCTCCTCGTCCTCCTCTCCTCCTCCTCCTCCTCCTCCTCCTCCTCCTCCTCGTCCTCCTCTCCTCCTCCTCCTCCTCCTCCTCCTCCTCCTCCTCCTCCTCCTCCTCCGCCTCATCCTCCTCCGCCTCCTCCTCAGCTCGAAAGACAAAAAATTGCATGAGCATAAAGTGTTGGCGATCCTCGCGAATTTCTTGGATCTGCGCTGGGACCCCCTGGCGGCGCCTCTGGGGCCGCCCCTGGCGCGCTCCGCGAGCCAGGGAGGGGGGTCCAGCGCAGATCCAAGAAATCCGCGCGGACCGTCAACAGTTTATGTTTATGCCGTGTTTTGTTATTCTAGATGTGCCGTGCTCAGAGCGTCCGTGTTCACACGTTGCGTGCTGGCTTCGGCTACGTTTTGCCGAGCGTGTCGCGCCAGACCTCCGCTTTCCAGTCTACGTGGGGAGCCCCGCGTCCACACGCGACTTGTCGCGTGTTGTGTATCGGGGCAGCTAAGCTCTCAGAGCCCAGGAAATCGGCGCGGAGCTCCGCAAGCTGATGTGTACGTATCGCCGCGACGTTCGTTCCGACGCGCGGCCTTCCGTCTTGGGGAGGGTGCCTCGGCCGCCGGGGCAAACTCCGCCTCGGACTCGGTGGGTTTGCCGCGGTGCCGGCTTCGCCTACCTGGGGCGCGGGACGCAGGGTTTGCCGTGGGTTTGCCGTGGTGTCGGCGTCGGCCATTCGGGCGCGTCGAGATCGAGCGGCGAGGCGACATGGCATTTGTTGCTCCTCGATGCTCCAATGCTACGTGCAACACAGGCGGGGGCGCCGGGGGGAAAGCCGCCCTCGGAGAGGTCGGCGAGGGGGGGTGGGCTTCCGAGCAGCGCGCCCTGCTGCAGGTAAGAGTTGGCACCAAAGGCCTCCCGGCCCTTCTCCTGGAGCGTTTTTGTGCGTTTGTTTTGCATTCTGGAGCGATAGCGGGCGTTACCTGGGGGATCAGAGCCCCGAATCATCAGGGGTAACTCGGGTCAGGGCTAACTCGGGTTCGTTTTTCGGGAATCCGAGCCCGACTTACCCCGGACCCGAGTTACCCCGGATAATTCGGGCGTCCAGAGCACCACATCATCAGGGGTAACTCGGGTCAGGGCTAACTCGGGTTCCTTTTTCGGGAATCCAAACCCGAGTTACCCCGGACCCGAGTTACCCCGGATAACTCGGGCGCCCAAGACAGGTATAGACGAATTTGTTTGGGCAGGTGGACTAGCTTTCTGCGCGGATCCCCCAAAACATCCACATGAATCGGGGGCTGTCGTGTGTTGCTTTCTTTCTCCCGCCGCTCGAGGCGGGCGGTCGCCCTTGCCGGGTCTGCTAGGGCCTCGATGCCGCTCACCAGAGTCGGTCTGGAGTCAAGGCTGAGCTGCCTCGCGAATGGAAGAGAGGAGGAGCGCGGGGCGAGCCTGGCAGCTGCGGTGGGAGGGGGGCGACCGCCGCCGCGCAACGCGCGAGGGGCAATGCGGAGGCGCACGGGGAGTTAGGGGGTGGACAATGGAGGGGGGAAGGGGAAGGGGCAGGGCCGAGCAGCGGACGGGGACAGCGAACCTTGAACGGCGCAGAGGGGCTTCGGGGGAGCAGTGCCAGAGGACGACGAAGGCGACGACTACAATTGAAATAAGGCGCGTCACTGAAATTACACAGCGGTGTGCAAGCAAATGCTGTTGCAGCCAAGCTGTACCCGCAATGCAAACCATGTCCGCAATAGGCAGGCTGATGCGACAATGTCCCACATGCGCAGACGGCCCTTTTCTCAACCACAGCCAGAAGTTCCTTTGCCGTTTCCAATCGGACCCCCCTCGTCGTCATCGTTGCGTTTTCGTCGTAATCATCGTCGTCGTCGGTTCGATGGCATCCAATGCGAACCAAAAGGTGCCTGCCATGGATTTTGGGTCGAATTGGACACCCCCGCGTCATTGCAATGTCTTTACACTCTTCGCTCGAACAACTGGTGTGGGTCTTCTCCGGTATATCTTTTCTTCGGCGCCCGAGGGGCGACCGAGGGGCGCATCGTGGGATGTAGTGGGGTGTTCTAGGCCTAGAGGAGCTCATGTCGATTGCGGGGCGAAGTCCACGTCTCTCGTCTTGTACGAGGTTTTCTAGCTCCCCCTGGCGCTGCCAGTGAGAAATTTCAGCGGTTCCCGTCCCCCTGACTCAGCCGAGGGGCGTGGTGACGAACCCGACCTGTACCCCGCCCTTGTCGCTAAGTGTCCGTCTGTACGTGCTCGCCTCGTCCGAAACATCCATCGCGTACAGGTGTACACTTAGCCAGCCGTTCAGTGTACATCTATACGTGCTGGTTTCGCCTGTGACATCCGCGCAAAACGGAGCACGTACAGATGTGCACTCAGCCAGCGGGGCGGGGTGCACAGAGAAAGCGGTGACGCCCGCACCCGACGTGCACTGCGCCCCCGCCGCTAGGTGCTGGTCTATACGTGGCCCGTTTTCGCGAGGCATCGGCTGCCCGTCCTTCCCGCCGCCGAGGCCCAGTCCATGGGCCGCTTCCCGGCGATTCTCCACCCCGAGCTATGCTACAACAGAGGGGGTCCGTTGTAGCATCCGTCGGGGGGCTTTTAAGGCGCCCCCCAAGACGGCGTGGGAGGGCCCCAAGGAGGCCCAAGAGGGCCGCAAGATGGCTACAAGACGGCCCCAAGGGAGGCAAAAGGGTCCCCAGAGGGCCCCACAAGGGCCCCGGACGGATTGACAACAGGGGGGTTCCGTTGTAGCATCCGTCGAGGGCCTTCGTTGTAATTTCCAAGACTGCCTGGGAAGGCCCCAGGAAGGCCCCAAGAGGGCTCAAGATGGTTGCAAGATTGCCCCAATAGGGGCCAGAAGGGTTTTAGAAATGCTCCAAAGAGGGCCCCCGACGGACGCTAAAACAGTGGGGCCCGTTGCAGCATCCGTCGGTCGCCCTCTTGGGGCCCTCGTGGGGCCATCTTGGCCCCCGTTTGGGAGCCACCTTGTGGCCCTTTTGGGATTTGTCCTGGGCTGTCTTGGAGGGCCCCAAGAGGGGCCTCATCCCTTCACAGCAGCTCGTCTGCAGGGTGCGATGCAGGGTGTCGTGTCCATCCGAGCCCTCCTGGAGGTCCTCCTCCCCGCACGCCCGCGCCCGTGCGCGCCCCGCGGAGGCATCCCGACGCTGTTCATGGGCCTGGTCTTCCTCGCGGCGGGAACGTCCATCCCCGACGCCTTCGCGTCCATGGCCGCCGCGCGCCGCGGCGAGGGGGACATGGCCGTGTCCAACGCCCTCGGCTCCAACATATTCGACATCCTGCTCGGCCTCGGGCTCTCCTCCTCAGCGCCGGGAGGCTGGAGCCAAGGGTCGGGGTCGGAGTCGTCGCTTCTGGAAGGTCTCGTCGCGCCAGTTCTGACAGGACACACACACACACACACCGTGCAGGCTGTCTTGTCCAGCAGTCTGACGTTAAGCAAACTTGGATCGACCGGAATCGTAGCTCCGATGTTGCTCGGCCGGGGAGAAGAGTCGAGCTGGTTGTGACCAGCCCGTGGCCTCTCGACGTGAAGACGAGGGTCTGAGCGTCTGGGGGGTTCCTGTGCTCAAGCAGTGGCGAAGCGTCCCGGCTCGCTTATAGCCCCACCAAACAATGTTCTAAGAACTTGTTGTGGTTCCCACGAACTGTTCTTAGAGCATTTCTGGCCGGGACTGTCTTATTTTATCGGGGGAGCGTAAGACCCGGGTTTGCCAGGACTCGGGTTCGCCATCGTTTTTTGACGACCGCGCCTCGGATTTTGACGAGGAGGAGTTTCGTGGGATGTCTGCAGCGGGAGGCCTCGTCAAAATGCAGGCTCGGCCTCGTCATTTTTTTGACGACCTCGTCGGGGATTTCCGAGCCCCCTGTACCCAGGTCTTACGTCCCCCTGGTTTTAACACATCGTGCTTATGTTAATTATGAGAACCTGGTTTTCGTTCTTGGAACATTTCTGGGTTCCAAGAACACTTCGTGGTATGACTACAGGAATGCCGGGACGGTCGGTCCCTGTTCAATGCGCAGCCTTCGGGGGAAGCCCTCGCCGCCACGGCGTGCCTCCCCCTCGGCGCTCCCCGTCGGCCAGCCGCCCTCCTTCTCTGAGCCGGTGCGGGCGCCCGACCGCCGAGGGGGAGGGGCGGGCCTTTTTTAGCGGGCGCGGGCGCGGCGGAGCCGCGGGGGCACGCGGAGCGGGTGCGGTCAGGAGCTCCTCCGCCTCCTCCTCCTCCTCCTCCTCCTCCTCCTCCTCCTCCTCCTCCTCCTCCTCCTCCTCCTCTTTCTGTTCCTCCTCCTCCTGCTCCTGCTCCTCCTCCTCCTCCTCCTCCTCCTCCTCCTCCTCCTCCTCCTCCCTCCTCTCCCCTCCTCCTCCTCCTCCTCCACCTCACACACACACACACACACACACACACACACACACACACGCGCGCACACGCGCGCACAGAGCCGGTCCTCCGAGGCTCCCCGACACGCGCCTGCCCACAAAAAAAGCCACGACGTTGCGGCAACTCCATCAACTTGTCACCCACGGCCGAGGCACTGTCTGTGCACCCAGGTCGACGTCCAGGCCAGGCGCTCGTGCCCACGACGCTCCTCCTCTGCGTCGCGTTGGTGCCCCCCAGCCGTCGCCAGACCGCGCAGGCACGGAGAGGCTGAATCTGTGTTTTCGACGTTTGCCTCACGACCCCCTCCTGGAGTGACGCAGACCAACGTTGGCATCCAAGGACACGTCCAGTGGTACGCGGGTGGGCCCACGGGCGGTGCGCGGAGCTGGCGGAGAAGAGAGAGAGAGAGAGAGAGATGCGGTCCAGAAGTTGCTCTCGGCGTGTGCCCACTGCGTGGTCGCACGTCCCCATTCAGCCCGACCAGAAGCGGTGGTCAGACGAGGTGTCCTCATCAAGGATGGGGGGGCAGCCGCCAGGCCGATGCTCGGGATCAGCTTGAGCAGACCCAGCTGTGAATCGTGAGTGTCGTCGCGGCTCTTTCGGCATGAGAACCCCTTGGAAGTTTGCGTGGACAGTTTCGGAGGGGCCATGTTGGATGCACATGTGAGGCTCTCTTGGGGCCCCTGTGGGGCCCCCGTAGAGGTGAAAGCCCTCCTGGGGTCATCTCGGACTGGACATCGATCAAAACAGAGAACGGGGCCAATTCGGGCCCACACACACCCTGGAGCCAGACAAGATCTTCTCTAGGGGCGCTCTTGGGAGCGGCCACCTCTTGGGGCTCTCCCGACGATATTGGAGCCACCCTGAGGCCTCACAAGCGCACGGGAAGCGAGAAGATAGAAGCCATGTGGTACTGAATGCCTTCGGTGTTTGTTTGCTCGAGGGTATCATCGGGAGGTTCCACGGCCACTCGGAGCGTCTTTGGCTGTCAGGGGGCATCGACGAGACCCGCCGGAAGCCATCTTGAACCATCTTGAGCTGTATGGTGCCATCTGGTGAACAATGTCCAAATACCTTCCACATGCAGCCTGGAAAAGCCAAAGCCCATATAAGGCCGCAGGTTTTTCAGTGGTGTTGCTGCTGTTTGAATCGGGGGCGGCACCACCATCCCCCCCAATGTCAGAGCCCGAACAGCCGCCTCTTGAGGCCCTTTTCGAGACGCTCTTGAGGCGCTATTGGGTGCTTGCGGGGCCGTCTTGTCGTCCTTCTGCCCCCTTCGTAGGGGCGTGTTTGGGCGATCTCGAGATCATCTTGAGACCCGAGAAGTCCACCAGAAGGGAACAGGCGAGAAGCCAACAACAACCGGAATGCCTTAGGCTGTTGAAGGATTTTCATTGCGGGGGGCTCTGAGGCCACGTGGAGCAGTCGTGGGGCCTTTTGGAGGCATGTAAGGAACAATTGAGTTATCTTGTGCCATCCGGGAAGAACGTCGGGCTATCTCTCGGACCCTGTTGTAGCCATCCTCGGCCATCTTGGACACTCCAAGGCGTCGCAAAAGATTGGCCCTGACCCCAGGATCGGCGGCGAGCGAGGGGAGGAAGTGAGAAGGAGAAGACCTTTTTTCACATATTCTCAGAGGCCCTCGCGCCTTCTGAGAAGTCCTCTGGGCCTTCTCCGACGACGGGAACAGATGCGCAGAAGGCGCGAGGGCTTCTGCGACCTCCTGGGCAGGCCTTCTTCTTCTCACTTCCCCCGCCCTCGCTCGCTGCCGACAGGAGAGGGAAGTCCCCCGGCAGTGCGGGCGGACCCTCTCCGTCGGCGGGCGGCCACAGAGCGGGCGTGGTGCGGACCCCAAGACGGCCTCCCCAAGACGGCCCTGGACGGCCCGACAGGACGACGGGAGGATGCAAAAGGTCAGAGCACACGCCGAGACCTCCAAGTCGACCAAGCATGGTCCGAAGACGCCGCTAGGAGAGGGGGGGGCCCAAGAAGCCAACATCCTCCCCAAGCGGTCCTGGCCAAATCGGCCCCCAGCGGCCTCCAAGAGGCCCCCCGGAGGATTCGCCAGGCGGGGGGGAGGAGTCTGCCAGCGTGGGGAAGGGGGGGAGGTAGACCCCCCTGAGGGGCAGAAGAACGGGGTGGAAGAAAGAACTCCCTGACCCACCCAAGCCCAGAGGGCTGATGGCATCCAAGTCAAACCGCACCCCAGGAGAGGTTCAGGGAGGGAGATTGAGGGGACGAGGAGGAGGAGGGAGGAGGAGGAGGAGGAGGAGGAGGAGGAGGAGGAGGAGGAGGAGGAATCGGAACAGACGCGAAACGTCAAGGCGGAGGAGGAGGAGGAGGAGGAGGAGGAGGTGGAGGAGGAGGAGGAGGGAGGAGGATTGCTATGAAGGCAAGGCCTTGGGGGAAAGGCCCAGGGTCCAGGACCTGCCTCCCCAGGCTCACGACTCCTCCCCCTCGCGGCGAGGTTCCCGTGGCTCATCGCGCTCCTGCTCGGGAAGCCGATCGTGTTCCTCGGGGTCAACAGGCTGCTGACGTGGGTGCTGATCCTCATCCTGGTGCTCTTCCTCTTCATGGGCGTGGTCGTGCTGAGCGGCTGGACTTGGCTCAGAACCATCAAGGGGCGCCATACCCCCGAAATGTTCGAACCCACCTGAACCCGTCCAGAAGGCAAGGATGTCCTCCTCCTCCTCCTCCTCCTCCTCCTCCTCCTCCTCCTCCTCCTCCTCCTCCTCCTCAACATTATCGTCATCAGTATCCTCCTCCGCGTCCTCCTCCATATCTCCCGAAGCCAACTCCTGGGACCTGGTCTGGAGCGCGTCCCGACCAGGATTACGAGGCGGATCCAGCCGCGATTCCGAAATCCCATTCTCCCCTCCTCCTCCTCCTCCCCCTCCTCCTCCTCCTCCTCCTCCTCCTCCTCCTCCTCCTCCTCCTCCTCCTCCTCCTGCGCTTGGAGGAAGCTCAACCAGAAGATGGGCCTCGTCCTCGGCTTCATGTACGTCGGGTACGTCCTCTTCGGGCTCCACCAGTCGAACACGGGGGGGAAGCTCCACTGAGAGAGCCCCTGCGCCCTTGCCGCAGCTATCCTCATCATCCCCTTCTCGTTCTCCCCCTCCCTCTCTCCCTCATTATCCCCAGACCCCCAGCGTCTCCAACAAAGCAGGTTGCGTCACGAGATCCCCACCAAGAAGTTTCAGCACATGAGGTGTATGTGAATAGTGGATGGTCTAGGTGTGCTTTCTTGGAGCGTGCACTCGATGTATACTCGAGTCTGTTCTGTACTACTGATCCTGGTGTATTGTGTTGATGCGTGCGTTCGATGTGTATGGTTGATGTAAGTCCTGGACGCCTGCTGTTGGTGTGTAGTAGGTGTTGGTGTATGCCCTTGGTGATTGGTGTTGGTGCAGACTGGTGGTGTATCGTGTTGGTGTTTGTGTGCTCGTGATACTCGCTCTGATTGTTTGATGTTGACGCCCGTTCTTGATGTATGTTATTGATATATGTGATTGATGCCTACGGGTGGTGCCTTCTCTGGTCGTGTGGTACTGTCTCTGGTTTGTATTGGGCGTGAACCAGTGATGTGTCGGTTCGTTGTACAATTGGAGATGTGGTTGATAGTTGTTCCGTCTCTGTGCTATTGGCTTCTAACTGATGCGTGCCAGTGGTGTTACATATTGTTTGATGTAAAGATGATAGTGAGTCCATGTGTGCGTGTGGGGAGCGAGTGATGCCTATTTTACTGCTCCGTGTACAATGTCTTGATGTGTGTTGCTGGTCTCTGACGTAGTTATCGAAGACGCCTAAGGCGAATCACCGCCGCCCCCCTGCCTTTTTGAAGCGCCCACGCGGCCAGACGTTGGGCCGAAGTCTGGCGAAGCAATTGGGATATGTGTTCCCCCAGCCGTTGTGGACCCCTCAGGATTGGGAACACTTAGGAGAGTAAGAGAAAGGAGAGAAGAGGGAGGAGAAGGAGGACGAGACGGAGGAGCAGGGGGGGGGGAAGGAGGAGAAAGAGGAGGAGTACTTTTGAGGCATTCTTGGGGCCTCCTGGGGCTTCTTGTGAGCTTCACGGGTGCCTCTGAGAGGCCTCCTTGGGGCTGGGGCCTCTTAGGGGGCCACCTGGGGCCTCTTAGGGGGCCACCTGGGGCCTCTTGGGGGCCTCTTGAGGGTCTCTGGGGTACATTTTGGCCTTCGGAGGCCGTCTTGGGGCCCTCTCCGGACAGTCGTGGGTCCCTCTTCGGGCGCTTGAGGGCCGTAATGGCGGCTAAGGGCCGTGTTGGGGGCTTCTTGGGGCCCTCTTGGGCGATATTGCTGGCATCTTGAGGGTTTCTTGGGCCGTCTTTGGGCGATCTTAGGAGCATATGGGGCCGTCATGGTGCGTCGGAGCCCCGAAAAGGCGAGAACGCTAAGATTCCATGGAAAAAAATAACAATCAATGATATTGGTTGGCCTCCTGGAAGCCCTCTTGGAGCCCTCTTGAGGCGTCTTGGGAGCTTCTTGGGCGGTCTGGAGGGCATATTGGGCCGTCTTGGAGACATCTTTGGGCCATGTTGGGCTACCTCTTGAGACCATCTTAACAGTCTTGGAGACATCTTGGCACCATCTTGGTCGTCTTGGAGGCGAGTTGTCCGTTGTGTTTTCCCCTTGCGCGTCCTTGCTGGTCCTTCTGAGTGGCCGGCGGGTTGGGCCGATGGCCCCTGTGCATTTTAGGAGAACCAAGAGCTACCTAGCATCGAAGGATTGCAAAAAAACCCAGGTTTTTTTGCAATCCTTCGGGTTTTTTTGCAATCCTTCGCGTTTTTTTGCAATCCTTCGTTCAAGTGAGGGCGGGGGGGCACGCCGTGCACCCCTGTGGCACGCCACAGCGGGCGGCGAATCGAAGACGAATACGGCGAAGCACCGCTGACCCTTGCCTTTCGGCAGCGCATGGGTGGCCGAACATTGCGGCCATAGCTCGGCTGAGCAATCGCCGCGCAGATTGCATAACATTGAAAGAGGTTCAGGGAAGGGCGGTTCGTTCTCAAGATAGGGATCGAGCCTCAGCGCTGCGCACATCCGGCCCACAGCTTGCACTAATTGCATGGATGGGGAGCGGTTCTTTCTCACCACGGGGATTTCGCTTGAGACTTTCTTGGAATGAAAATGCCCGGCTTTGAAGCATGAGTTACAGCTGAACGTGAGGAGGGCGGCCTCTTTGTTCCCAGCTGTAGTTTTCGCCTGGGGCCCCTCGACGCTCGTGCTCAGAAGTGTAAAAACGTGCGCAGCTGTTACACCTAGTGTGGATACCGCTGGCCACCTCAGGGAACTGCATGGCCAGGACTCCCCGCAGCGCTGACTGCACCCTGGAGCGATGCAAGGCAGCTCCTGTTCAAAACGGGGCTCTCGCCTGAAAGTCAGCCCCGTCGGATGCCCCTTGTAGTAGTGAAGGGGGAGGGGTGCGGGGAGCTGTGAGGAGGGGACTTGGGACGGGAGGGTGCATTGCAGCATCGCTGTTCTGGCCATTCCTTCTCCTCTTCCTCCCCCCTCGCTCCTCCGCGCTGGCACCGGGGAAGCCAACAGCTACCGACACCTTTCCTCCCCGAACCTCGCGCTCGGACCAGCATTCCGAGGTGAAAAGTCTGGCCGTGGCGACGGGGGCCTCCCGGGAGGCCCAGAGAAGGCGAGAACGAAGCAGGGGCAGCGGCATCGGCACCCGCTCCTTCTCCGCGGTCGGTGTCGTTTCTCGGGCTTACGCACTCTGACTCGCCCCGCAGTCACCCCTCCTGGACCTGTCCTGCAGCGCGGTTCTCGCCGCAGTTCCAGCGCGTATCCGGCAGCCGTGGCGACAGCGGCGCCCCAGGAGGCCCAGAAGAGGGGGACACCCAAACCCTCTCCTTCCCCCCAATCCCCCTCCACATCCTCCTCATCATCCTCCTCATCCTCCTCTTCATCACCCCCCTTCTTCCCCCCCCCTCCTCATCCTCCTCCTCTCATCCTCCTCCTCGTTCTCCTCGTTTTCCTCGTTCGTCCTCCTCGTTCATCCTCCTCCACCTCCTCGTCCTCCTCCACATCCTCCTCATCATCCTCAGTATCCTCCTCTTTATCCTCCCCCCCCTCCTTCCTGCCCCCTCCTCCTCCTCCTCCTCCTCCTCCTCCTCCTCCTCCTCCTCCTCCTCCTCCTCCTCCTCTCCTCCTCCTTCTCATCCTCCTCCTCGTCCTCCTCGTTCATCCAGCCTCCAGCCCTCCTCGTCCTCCCCCGCCCTCCCCCTCGCTCTCTCCCTCTCTCCCCCCCCCCCCCTCCTCCTCCTCCTCCTCCTCCTCCCTCCTCCTCCTCCTCCTCCTCCTCCTCCTCCTCAGCAGCGAAGCAGCAGCATCAGCAGCACAGCAGCAGCAGCAGCATCAGCATCAGCAGCAGCATCATCATCATCATCATCATCATCATCATCATCATCATCATCAGCAGCAGCAGCAGCAGCATCAGCATCAGCATCAGCATCAGCATCATCATCAGCATCATCATCATCATCATCATCATCATCATCATCATTGTGAGCATTATCATCAACATCATCCTCATCATCATCAGCGTCATCATCACCATCATCATCATCATCAGCAGCATCATCACCATCATCATCACCATCAGCATGAAAATAATCATCATCATCATCATCATCATCATCATCATCATCATCATCATCATCATCATCATCATCACCAGCATCATCATCATCATTTATCCTCTCTTTCCCCCTCGTGCTCTCCCGCTCCACCGCCGCCTCCTCCTTCTCCTCCTCCCCCTCCTCATCCTCATCCTCATCCTTTCTCCTCACTCCTCCCCTTTTTCTTTGCCCGGCACAACTCCCGTGCTGGCCGCGCACGAAGCGCGCGGCCCAACCCCGAGGAGGGCGCCCAGAGTGCCTGCAGGAATTTACATGCAGTCGGCCTATACAGCCTCAGGCCAGAGCCCGAGAAAAGCGGCGGCTCACGCAGCGCAGAGCCGCCACAGTTGCATGGGGCTCCCTGGTGACCAGCCAGAGAACACGGGCGCCGCCGCCACATCCACTTGCCCGCCGGCCCAACGAAGCGATGGATTACCCACAGCAACGTCTGGACTTTCCAGTTCCCCCTCACCTCCGAACGTTAGGAGGCCCCCGTAAGGTAACTCCGTGTGAAGAAGCCCTTCCAGGGTGGATCCGGGGGCCAGAGCTTACACTCGGCTGGCTAGGCCGAGCGGCAGCAGTCTCTCCCCAAGCTGCGTCCAGCTAGGGTGACGATCGGGCTGCTACCCGCCTGTTTTCCAGGGACATCCGAAGCTCTCTGTGGCACAGGTGCCTCCTCACTCCCCACCCTCCTCGCCCCCCACTCATCCTCGAGGCCTCGATGCTGCTGGCATCGGTGTCCATCCAGCCACTGCCATCCCCCCTCGGCAGCCTTCTCCGCCGAGTAGCGGGAGGAAAGTATCAGCAAAGACAGACAGAAGCAGAGGGGCGGCGCCGAGGAGAGAGAGGTAAGCGGGGGGGTCGACCATGATACAAGGACCCCCATTCACACACACACACACACCCTCCTGCTCCCCCCCCTGAGTGGGCCCTGGAAACGACAGAGCTGTGTTTTTACCGGTTCGTTTTGCAGTTTTTGTCGCTGGTTCCTACGCCGTTTTTTTACCGGTTCCGTCGCCGCTTTATGGGTTCCAATCCTGGAGCCGTTTTTGTCGTTTCTGGTTGCCGTTTTTTGCCGTTCCCATTTTCAAGAGACACTTTTTCGGAAACGGTGAAAAAACTGCCCTGCCGTCTCCGGGGCCCACTAAGCCCCCCCTTTCCCCCGCCCTCCCCCCCGCCATTAGTTGTTCCTGGGGGCCGGCGCCGGGACGGCCTCCACTAGTTACTCAGGGGCCGCGCGCAGGCGATCTCCCGCCGCTCTAGGACGGGCGCCCCCCCGTCAAGGCGCGGAGAGTCGCCACCTCGCGGAGTCGCACCGCGCGAGCTCCCGGAAAAAAGAACGCCGTGCGCCCTTGCCCGCTCTGCGCTGGACGTCCTGGCCCCCCTCCGCCGCGAAGCGGGCCCCGCGGGCGGCG